GGCAGGGCCCGTCCCCGCGGGGCCGTGGTGGCCGCGGCCGTGGCGTGGCGGGGCTGGCGGCGCCCGCCGCGCGTGGCCCCCCGCCGCCTTTGTGCTCGGCGCCCGGGTCACTTCCCAAGCGCCGCGGAGCTGCTGGCCCCGCTCGGCTCCCCCAGCCCGTCGCCGTGCTCTCTCCTCCAGCAAGCGCGCCCTCGGACACTTTATTTTTCTTTTGTTTTTACAGTTGTTCGGGCAGTTATTTTTTCAGTTTCCCCAGCTTGGAAAAAATTAAAAATTGATAGCAAATAAGCAGCGCCTCTTAACGCGCCATGCGGTGCCGGTGCAACGTGTGGACGCAAACAAGGCTCTGCACCCTGCAGCTGCACGAGAGGCTCTGGGAACAGGTTATCGATAAAGTTAGATGGCGAGGAGCTGCATCGCCCGCGCTCAGAAGTGTTAGTCTTTGTGCAGCTCGGATCCTGACACCGATCTCTTTGATAACCCAGCTAGAGAGTGTGTGATCGGAGCTATTTCCGTTAAGCATGTTGATGTTACAGCAAATGTGACATGTGGGTGTTGATGGAAGGGACATCATTTTCGATCCTGCTTTGGGCAACACCCTGAAGAGCAAGTCACTTGTTTGTGCTCCCTGGTGAACCAGGCTGAGCTGCACCACGGCATGGATTTGCTTTCAAGGTAGCGGGGATTTGCGCGCCGAGGACGCCGTGTTCGTCACGGTGCCGCATGTGCTGCGGGGACCAGCCGGGGAGAGGGACCCCAACTGCAGGCACAGAGTGTGGGGACACGGTGCTTTGGCCCCCGACCAAACCTTTCCCTCTTGTCCCTCTCGCTGTCTCCCTCCCGTACCGCATGCGGGGGAAAAGCAGGAAAGGACATAGATTGGAGTCTGCTCCGTTTTCTTCTACCTTTGGTTCTGCAGTACAATAATAATAACATGAGAAAAGAAATTTCCCCTCCCTGCACCCAGCCTCCACCACAGCACGTGGACAAGTGTCTAGGGGTTGGTGTTGGAGGCCTCCAAAACGATTTTTAATAGCACCCTCTTTTCCCACTATTAATGAGTAGGGTTTTGAGATGCTTGACAGGCAGAAAGTACTTAGCGTGTGCGTTTCTTCTCCTATAGGGTGCAAGGGTGTTGCATGCATGGGGCACGTATGCTGAAACCGTGTCACTGTGCATGGGCTTGTGGCCGAGCCTTACGGAGTCAGGAAAACTGTCCCCCCTGTTCTGGCATGGGCAGAGCACCTGGTGCTTCTCAGTGCCAGGCAGGTAATTTCACCGGTCCAGCTGCACGAGTTTGGTGAAGCCACCGAGTGACACCAGTGCCATCAATATCCCCCCGGCTGAGCCCATCCCCGGCGCCCCGTGTGCTCCTAGCGCGTCCCCGGGTGTAGGGAAGGTGCTGGGCACACCCTAGTGCACTGGAAGAGCCCCGGCATCGGGCTGGAAACAGCTCGTTTGTCTGTTTTTCCTTTTCCCACATATGGGAGATGGGAGGTTTTCCAGTATCCTTTTTTTTCTTTTTTTTTGAAGGCTCGATTTTTCCTTCTCAAACTAAATCACAAATAAATAAATAAATGCGCATGAGGAAACACTCTCCTCCCCCTAAACACAGCTACCAACAAAAAGAAATAAAACCACAAAGTTAAATTCAAATAATGTGAAGCGACTCATTTTAAACCCACAGACACAAGTGGAGTCAGAACTTTACATTGAGACTGGCCTAAGTTGCCCCATTGGTATTAAAGGACTCCTTAAACAGCATAAGATCTCGGCTGTTGTATTAACCAGGCATGACCTGATGCGTTATAGGCTGGACTTTGAGGCTTTTTTTTTTTTCTCTTTCCCTTTGTGGGTTCTAAACCTCTCCTGTAATGTTATTTGAATGTAGGTTTTTAATGGCTTAATTGAGTTGTCAATAGGAGCCCTTTCCTTTTTTTTTTTTTTATTCTGGCTAAAAAAATGCAAATTGACATGGATAAAATGCATTTGAAGCTCCATTCAGGATTTTGTTTTTCATTCTTTTATGTCTGTTTTCCACCACCTGAATGCGGGAAAATAATATAGCTTTTGCATTGTTGGGTATATGACTGGTCTCATGTCTGCTGATTTATTAAGCTAAAATCAGAAATAGAGTTGAGGAAAAAATCTTTGATACTTTGAAACCCAATTACTACTGATCACGAGGGCTCCATGTACCAAGAAAACGAAAAACTGGTTTTCGGCAAGGTGAAGACTGCCAAAATATGAAAGAATACCAGATGTTATTTTAAAAAAGTGCCACTGCAGAGTCCTTGGAAAGGGAGAGTGAGAGAGTGTAAGTGAATAGGCATATGTGGATTTAACTAATATTCAAATGAACTGTAGAATTGAAAAGAAAGAATTCTCAACAGTTTAGCTGTTAAAGCCTCCTTCATCTTTCCACAGACGCATGGTCAGGACCCTTATCAAATGAAGCAGTTTTGCTATGTTTTCTGAAAGGCACAATATAAATCACAGGGAAAGGGGAAAAAAAAAAAAAAAGAAAAAACCCTCCTCACATCAAAAAGATAATAAAGTTGAGATCTGTGCTTTCCTTTTTATTTGTTATATATATAAGCCAAAATTCAGCCTTTGTAATTTGAGAGATGTACTTTAATCTGAAAGCTTTACAGGAATGCTACGTGAAACTAGTAACAAGCATTTCTCCTCTCCGCCACTTTTATTTCTTACGACCCCTGGTTCAGTTCCTATTTTCATGTTGTCTTTTCCAGCTCTTTGTCCCATCTCCCGCGTGTGTATGTGTGTCTCCATGCGCGTGTTGTTTTTTTTTTTTTTTTTTTAATATTTTGACATTCTGCTCCCCCTTAATAGGAATTCTTCCTAGAAATAGTGCGCACATTTCTAAAGGGCCCTTTTCACAGTCCTTTTCTTTTGGCTCTGAAATGATGTATATGTAATTGGTAATTAAAGGTGCAAGCTCTCTTCAATATAAACAATATTGCTCAATGTTAGATCATTAAAGGGAACCGCAGCACTAAATAATTACCTTTTGCATTGTGCCACACTGCTCACAGACATCCGCTCTCTTCCCAGCAGTGCCTCTTCAGCACAGGGTTATGGTTACATTTTCACTAAGGCAGGGCATCTTTTCATAAAATAAATTGCCGAATTAATTATGCAGCATTGTCTTCAAACTCCCTTTAAACTTAGATTAAGGGGAAAAAGGTAATTAATGGTTTTCAGGAGGGGTGTTAAGGCTTTGTGCTGGGTAACCTTGCTGCGAGTTAGCGCAAGGAGCTCGAGCCTTCCTGTGCCCATCTCTGGTTCTCACAGGATGGTTCATGCTCAGGAGCCTCTTTGGGCTCCAGTCCCTTTCCCACTGCTGCTGCTGTTTGGTATTCTGCTGTTAGTGAGCTCTGCTGCAACTTGTAACACAGCTGGTAGATACACCAATCAATTATTTATTTTTGGAAAGGGAAAACAGGGGGTGCTTCTTTTTCTAAACTTTCTTTTGCAAGGATCAGCCTTTGGTTTTTTTCCTGCCAGGTTATATATTTCACCTTCCACCTCTTGTCTCTTTTCTGTGTGTCTCTTTTTTTTTTTTTTTNTTTTTTTTTTTTTTTTTGTAATTTGCTAAAGATCAGGACAAGAGTCCTTTTGTTTTCGGCCGGGAGGAGGACCCCGATCTGGGTTATGACATCTGTTTAGCTCAGACTCACTTCTTTGAGATACCGCTTTCTCCCTGAAATTCATAAGCAAACTGTTGGTGCTAACAGACAACATTTTTCCTACTGTTCTTTTAATCCTGATTAGATTATAGGTTTCACTCACTGATTTACATACTGTTAGTTCCTCTGTTTTGTTCAGCCCAAATCCTATAGTCCTTTCAGAGGCAAAACAGCCTTAGGCAAAAGTCAGTGGAAATTTTGCCTGAGTAAAGACCAAGGTTTGTATGATTTGGCAGTTACACAGTAGAACAAGAGAAAACAAACCCAAAAACACATTTTGCCCCAGAAATGGATTGTGTGATCTGTAATTATTTTATAAAGTAAGAATTATCTACAAAATACCCATTAAAAAAAGAAGCACTGTGCATGATTAATTGTGAAATGAGAAGTTACATTTTTCTTAGAAACTGATCCAGGTCACTCAGAAATGCTTTCTGAATCTTTGGGGGGTAATGGTGTGAATTCCATCAGGTTTGTGGGCAAGATTCATACAAAAACGTTGAATAACCTTTTTAGCAACTGTATAGGCACTTGGCATGAGGCAAATGAGTGGAAGATTTAAGTTTCAGCCAATATTCCAGTATATTAAATAAGTGCTTCATTCTTTCTCCCACTACATATGCTTTTGAAACCCCTTCTCATTAGACCGTATCCTGCTTATCTTATAAAAGGTTTGCCATAGCTTGTGCTAATGGTGGGCATTTAATCATGCTGCTCTTTAAACGGACAAGGTGGTACTATTTTCGTGTCCTGCAGGGAGCCCGACCTGGCTGCTTCAGAGCATGGGGGAGATTTATCCCCCTGCTTGCCCTCTCCTACTGAAATCAAAGGATGGGTTTGAGTGGGATAAGATTTGCTAAATGGGGCCTTTGCCAGGTGGTGGGGAGATGCCGTGGGAATGAGAAGGTGGAATACAAAAAGAGGAACTGTTTCATAAAGTGACTTGGGGCTCGAATGTTTGCAAAATGGCTCTTTGCTGATATTCTTGCAGCGCTGGCAGCAGTGGGAAGGAGCTGTCAGGAAAGCTATGCCAGGTCAGCCTTTCCATTTTGTTTCAGGCAGGCTTGGTTGCAAAATATATTGAAATGATTATGGGAGAGCGGAAAAGCTGAAAAATAAAAAAATAGATCTAATCAGGCCTGGCTTCTTTTGGGGGGAGGCTGGGCCTCATGTGATGCATCCTTCAGAGTGTGTGAACATTCAAAGCAATCTCTCTCTCTTCTCCCCTCGCCCCTTTCCTCCCTTTCTTCTTGTCCATGTAAAGCAGAGGCTGACCATGTGGAGCCGGCAATCGCCGACGAGGATGAGAGCCTGGCACTAGCAGAGCCGGGCGGCATCGGCATCGTCGCAGGCGGGACAGACCCCGACTTGTTAACCTGTGGACAGTGTCAGATGAACTTCCCGCTGGGAGACATCTTGGTTTTTATAGAGCACAAGAGAAAACAGTGCAATGGCACTGGTGGTGCCTGCTATGAAAAGAGCATGGATAAGAGCAGCCCTCCCCCCTCCTCACGCGCCGAGCTCAGGAAAGTGTCAGAGCCAGTGGAAATCGGGATCCAAGTCACACCCGATGAAGAAGACCGTCTTCTCACGCCTACAAAAGGAATTTGCCCCAAGCAGGAGAACATTGCAGGTACAGCATGTTTTACACTCAATCAACTGCCTAGGTAATCTTTTAACGAGAGCCCTCTAGAAAGTGTCATGAAACAGAGGCTTCAGTCGCAGGTCTCTGTAGGAGCCATCAGTCCGGAGGACTCTTACGGCCACACAAGGCTCAGCAGAGCGGCTCACCTCAGGGGTAGGGTAGCTACCTATGTGTGCAGGACACCTGTCCGAGAGAGAGGCCTCTTCATCATTTGGGACTCTTCATCATTTGGGACATTTGTACACGTGGGAGAAAACACAAGGTTGGGATCAGAGAAGCGTTTCAGGAGTGTCCTTAAGCAGATAGCTGCAGTAGATGGATAGGAGGACTGGGTAATATGCTGACTTCAGTTCTGTAGGGATATCCCGTGTAACACTGTGGACACAGCGGGAAGCACCAAATCTGAGTCCCACTGAAGTCAATGGAAAAAACTCGTTGGCTCCAGTAGGAAGGAGATTTGGTTCCAAGGACTGAAGTGGGCTTCACTGAGTCCTTGCTTGTTCCTTCCACTGACGGTAGGTTTCAGCTTCCTTGTCTGAACTACTGACTGTGCCACCAGTCCTGGGTCTCTGCAGAATGCTGGAATTGGGTGGGGGACTCTTCCATTCTAATGTATGCCCCAAATGAGGCTTTCGAAAGGGGAGATGAGAGCATGAGCTGGCCCAGGCAAGCAGATTATAGGCACTTCTTTTTCTAAAACTCTTGGGCGTCTTAGAGAAACTGGGTGTGTAGGTTAAAGTTGCTCCAAGGCAACTGTAACATTTACTCATCAGATCCCCAGTGGTCTCACTGATGGGCAGGCAGGCGATGGTATCTACCTGGGTGAGCTGTTCTGAAAGGGCCCCTGCAGAGCGCACGGCGTGCGGCAGCTCCTGGTGGGCAGAGCGTTTCTGCTCTCGGCAGCCGTGAGCTTGGCTGCAGCACCGTGTGCGCCGCTCGTGCTGGGCCCTGTGAGAGAGTGGGCTTTTTATATTGCACAGCAGGATATCCTCCCAGACTGGCCTTTTGTTTCAAGTGTGCTATATCCTTCCCGTACAGAGCACCAGTGGCAAATTGTCACTGCTGTCGCTCTCCCGATTTCTCTAGGAGCTGTCACATGGGATTAGGGCTGATGGTCCAGGGCCCTGCTGTAGCAGAGATGTTCCCTGAAAGGAATCCACAGAAAACCTGCATTAGTTACATGTGTGGTGGCAGAAGCTCTCTTTACAACTGAAGCTTAAGAGTTTTCTTGCTTTTGGACCTCCTTCTGTCATTGGAGGTCTCTGATTCAGTCCCCCTTTATCTATGACGAGCTTGTGTATCATGTAAAGGAAGATCTGGGATTTGAACTGCTCAAGTCTACCGATCCTCTAGATCTCCGGTCTTGGGACAGGGTACACGCAACCCATTGACTAGGCTATTGTCTTCTATGAATCCTTCACGGGTGCACTCACCATCTCAGCATAGTCTGGGGGCATTAAAGGTGACAGCAATTTTAGCATTATAAGCAGCCCTGCTGTGAGCCTTGACTCCACCTTTCCTTATCCCCCGGCTGTTGTCAATGCGTTTCCTGGCAGACATGACTCCTTCATAGTGTAGCAGCTTTCTGAGGGCCAGATTTCCATCCTGATCAATGGGACAGAGGTGTTGAGGACCTTTTTCAGTCTGTTGAAGGCATCCTGAATGGTGCTGAGCACTCTCAACAGCTTTTGGTCTCTGTGCATGCTGATAGTGCTCAGCCCTTGCAGAACATGCCCGGCACTTAGCAAAGTTGGTCCTGAAGATTTATGCTGTAGCTGTAACACAGATCTCGTCTCTTATTAATCTGTGCCCACGTTCAGCTGATAATGCAGTTGGCCAGACCTAGCTCAGAGGCTGCCGTCCAGGGTCCGTGGGTCAGCACCAGTGTAACTAGAGCCTTTGCCATAACAAGAATTCACTGGGAGGGGGGCGAGACATTCACATGTGGAAAAGGCATAAAAAAAATAAAAATCCAATCTGGAGCACCTAATCTCTTTCAGATTAAAGTGAATATCAAATGAAAATATGTATGAAAGATTTTGAGTTGACAAAAATAAAAGAGTTTATCATTTGATTGGCATTTTCTCAGCAGTGAACGGAGATAGGAACATCCGCTAAACAGTGCAGTAATAATGCTTTCTCAATTAGGAGCCCAGCTCCGAGATAAAAAGGTGCAGTGTCCTTCCATATTTTTTTTTTTTAATAGCAACGGATAGTTTTCAATAGTAGGATAAAAGCTTCACATTACAGCCATGGAGGGTAGCCATGAAAAACCCACAGAAGTCATTCACTGGAAAGGCTTTAGTGGGATATACCAAACCCCTTATTTATATTTCAATAGAAAGGCTTTCTGCATTAGCCAAGAAAATCAGAATCTGCATTTAACATTAAAGGTATTTCCCAGTGAGCGGCTGTAGAGCATTGTTGTTAGATTTGTTAAAAAAAGAGACTAAATACGATTTCATAAAAGGGAAACTTAATCTCTAAGGCAGCTTTCTCCCACCCCGCCACCCCCTCCCTTTATTTTTTTATTTTTTTGGTAATAATGCAACAGCCTACAGTATTTTTACTTTATATGTGACGAAAGATATTCTTAGCCTTTCTGTACTGCGACAGGAAGAATGAATTTCTTTATTCCACCAAGAAATATGTAAAATAATCCCTTAGAAGTATGGGGAGATATGTTTGTTCAAAGCATTTAAAATGTTATTTTAATCAAAGGCACAAAACACTCTACATGCTGTGTCAGCTAAAGGAGACCATTACATTTTAACAGCAAATCATGCTCTTTTTCCCCCTCCTAGCTAGCCTCCCCCTCCCACTTTGAAACTAACTTTTTTATTAAATAAAAAGGAGAAAAAGATTAAAGAATAATAAAAAAAACTTCAGTGGCTCAAATGTATAAAATAATTTAATATGGTGGAAGTATTAATTATTTTAGCTTAATTGAATTCTGAGGACTGCAGTAGTTGCATTTTTGTAGACAAGCTCTGTTTATTATTTCTTTGTGTAGATTAACAGTAAAGGAAACATAGATAACTTTCAGTTATTTATTGTAAAATAAATGTGTCAATTCATGTGTAAAGCAAGCTGTTCAAAGATAATTGAGTCTTTATATTTGAAGAGGGAAACCAGAAATCACCCACTCGCCACTCTGGCTCCCTGAAATATGCTGCCACTGCTGCTGCCCTCAAATAGATTTCAGCTACTCTCCTTGATCTTGTGTTATTTTTGTGGACCTTCTTACTCAGTTGAAATGATTTGTGCAGCCTTGTGCTGTGTGACTAAGCTGCAAAGCGTTACAGCTTCTCATAGCTGAGCCTAGTGAGGGTAAGGCGAGCGCTGAGCCTGGCTCTCCCGTAGCACCTTTCTTCCCTCTGGGTGAGGGGCTTCACATAGGGCACCCTGCGGAGTATTAGTTCTCATGCAGGGTGCCCTGGCATTGTGAGGTCTCTCCTTCTTTCCTTCTTTTTCCTTCATAACTGCTCTTGCTCTGGTCACTTGATCCTTGATGTGCTGGCAAGGACTCGTGCCGCTGAGAGGGAGGCAGGTAGTTCTCAGGAATCTGCAAGAACCTGCATGTGCGTAGTGCAAATCGCCAACTGACATTTCTAGATTTCGGTAGAGACAAAGGCAACTTTATCTCCACAATCAGCTTTTAAAGATCTTCTGATAATGAAGTCTGTAATCTTTCCCTGTCTTCTAACTTGCAAATCTAAGCTTTTCAAGGCACTTTAATTTAGTTACCCCTGTCCATAAGGTATGTGGTAGTACGTTACCTGGCATTATGAGGACGTGACTCGCTTAGGAGCAGTTTGCTCTGTGAAGTTTTGTTTGAAATTGGCTGACCTGCATGAAAATCCATTCTGCCTTTCATACAGAGGCATCTGCATCAAGCAAATGTACCAGATTGTTGCACAGCAAAATAAAGTAAGGCCAATGAATTTGATAGGAATTATCTGTCACTGTTTCTTTTGCTTTATCATTGGCAGATAATTTGGAAAGTTTGACTACCATTGTATTTTATAACTCTGTTTTAATCTTTTTATTTGTGAGATCTTGAGCATGATCAGTTGACCAGTGCTGGTGGAAAAAGGCTGTGGAGGGGTGGCTCCTGCTGTCCTTTGATAGTGGGTATCACTTGTTCTCCTCTAGGCTCTCCTAGTTTAGTTGATCACCAGCCCGCTCACCAACAGGGATCTGTGAAATAATCCAGATTGGAGAAAAACAGTAGCAGTCTTCGTGTTTATTTGCAACCCTGGATTAATTGATAGAGCCCAGGCAATGAGCAGAGGAGCTGCTAACCCGTCAGAGCAGAGGGGCAGGGGCCCTTGAAGAGAAGGGAGCCTCCACTGTGGGTAGGGAGCACTTAGATCAGATTTTCTCCACCTTCACTGGTTCATCTGATCATTACCTTTTTCAGTGCTCTGGGCAGTTCACCCTTCCAGACAGATTGCTAGAGCAGCAGCGGAGATTCATTAAGACAGCACAGTTAATTTCTGCAAAGACAGTGCTAGGAAAGGGAAGCGAGTTGATTTGAATTCCTCATTCATCCAGCCTGGGCCGCCGATGCTGGGCTCCATACATTATGTACTTGAACTAGATGTGCATCATGAAAAAAGGCTCCCTGTCAGATGCAGGATTTAACTGCAACCCCTGCTCCATGAATGTTCATTTCAGGCTTTTAAATGGTAAAACTGCCAGTGAGGGAAGCTAAATAACTTGCATGTGCTGGAAGCCAGAGATAAACACCGCCGCAGGTTGCCACGAAATAGGCTATTTGATATATTTAGAATTGTTATTTTTCTCCAAATTAAGATTAGTTAAATCCATGTGTGTTGTGTGAGTGATTGTTAACTCAATGGCATGGATTATCCTTTTTTTCAAATCATGACAGCTAATTATTATTGCTGTCTACTCGGAGACATTCACTTACAATGTACCATTATGGACCCGCGCGCCCATATTAACTATAGGACTCAGACAGC